CGCAGTGGCAGGGTTCACATGCGTCCCCAGGCCCGGCCCCAAAAGGAGCTCCATCGAAAGCCGCAGTGGTAGGGTTCTCATGAGAACCCAGACCCATGTCGGCACACCCCTCACACGCTTCGTGGCCCCATACAGAGCTCCACCGAAGGCCGCAGTGGCAGGGTCCACATGCGTCCCCAGGCCCATTTTGGCACACTCATCACACGCTTCAGGGCCCCACAGGGAGCTCCATCGAAGGCCACAGTGACAGGGCTCACATACGTCCCCAGGCCCATTTCGGCACACAGGGCACCAGTGGCAGCTTTCACATGCGACCCCAAGCCCGTTCCAGCTCCTCACACGCTTCGTGGCCCCACAGGGAGCACCACCGAAGGCTGCAGTGGCAGGGTTCACAGTCCCTAGGCCCATTTCGGCACACCCCTCAGACGCTTCGCGACCCCATAGGGAGCTCAACCGAAGGCCCCAGTGGCAGAGTTCACATGCGCCCCCAGGGTAATTTCGGCGCCACTTCACACGCTTTGTGACCCCATAGGGGGAGCTCCATCGAAGGCCGTCACTGGAGGGTTCACATATGCGCCCCCAAGCCCCCCTCAAATGCCTCGTGGCCCCAGATATCTGAGGTACGAAAGACTTCTTTAAGACCCCTGGCCATGGAGAATTAGTTTGTTGTGACTGCTGTCGATTCAGGGGTTATGCACTTGTCTAGAGGTATAGATTTCGAGGTTGGGCACTTGTCTCGGACGCCTGAGAAACACAATGGCTACGTTGGTGCCACTGCCTGAGGTCTGCTCTTGGGTATCAAAATCCAGTGCCGAAATTTCCGGATCTCAAAACCCACGTTGCGTGACGTGTTCATCGTTCGGGTACGAGTGTTGTGTGGTTGTGCAAATGGGTTGATGGAGCTGCTGGGGTCTGGTATCGTGACGGCTCAGACTACGACGGCAACGGCTCCCCCTCGAAACTTCTTCACAATATATCCAGGATCATGGGGTACACGCAAGACAGGATTGGGCAGGACCGAGTAGGAGTGAGGAGAAGGAACAGGAAGAGGGAATATGCCAGAATGAGGGGAAGGAGGAGGCGCGAAAGGAAAGCATTGAGGACGGTATCTTGCAGACACCTGAACCTCAGCCTGACAGCGGAATCAGCTGGACACCTAAAACTAAGCGCATGGCGATGCGACGGTGGCGGCCAACCCAAGCAACGGGCAAAACAGCGGACGTCAATGAGTCAACTATGCAGTAATGGGTAGGCGGGTAGGCCCCTCATCCTCCTAACTCCTCACTCTCCCTCCCCCCTCCTCCCCGAGGGCGAGGGGGGCGGGAAGGCAGGGGAAGGGACAGGCAAAAGGGCGAAGAAGAGGGGGACTTGGACCAATAGAAATCTGCAGGAAAGGAAAGGAGGGGAGTCGGAGGGGAACGAACAAGAGCCGGCGGCAGCCCACCAGAGGGGGCGGGCGGCGGCCCTCGAACCCGAGCTTCACCAACGGGGGCGACTCTTCAGAAGCTCCGACGTGGAGGGGGTGCAGCGGGGGAACTTTGCAAAATCCCGATGCGGCGGGGGGGAACTTTGCGAAGATCCGGGGCATTCTGGGTCCGGGAAGCGCATCAACATATTGTCGCTGGGGCTGGGGAAAGCATCAGCACTGTCGGCAGGTATCAATTCTGGGGTTGGGAAACGCATCAGCATTGTCGCCGAGTATCAGCTCTGGGGTTGGGAAACGTATCCGTACTGTCGCGGGGTATCAATTTTGGAGTTGGCGATCGTATCAATTTCGACGTTGGGAGTTGGCGATCGTATCAACTTTGATGTTGTCGAATTGCGGATCGTATCCCTTTCGATGTTGCGGTATCAATTTCGAGATTCGAAAGCGCATCGATCTTTGTGCCAGGTATCTGGCTTGGCGTTGGGATCGGGAATCTTCTGACCCGAGTCAATCCAGACCCGGGTCAGCAGGAAACCAAAAACTGCAATGCAGGAAAAAAAACAACAACAACAACAACAACAACAACAACAACAACAACAACAAAAAATGCAACGCAGATCTTCGTAAACCCGGGTCAACCAATATGCGCGGCAGCCTCGCGGCCACGAGCGGCTCCCTAACCCGGGTCAGCCAGAGGGGGTCTTCGCAGGATCCTGCAGGATCCGGTGCCCTGGCTGACCCCCGTTTGCACTGACCCCCGTCTCAAGGCTCCCGATGGGAAACGTACGCGTACTCTCCGGCGCTGTCATCTTGGAAATTGGGAGACGCGTCGACACTCCGCCGGGCAGGGCGCGCTTCCTTGGGTTCTTGGGCGCGCGCGCGTCCTGGGGCAATGCTTCGCTTTGCGCGCGCTAGACCCTAGTTTTATGTCGGGCGTGTCCCCCTACAGGGGGATCTTCGAAGAAAATCAAAAATACCAGAAAAAATACCCCAAGAAGGTCAAGAAATACTAAGAAAATAGTCCCCAGACTATGTTTAGACTATTTTTTGACTATTTCTGGGGTATTTATAATTTTTCGTCGAAAATCCCCCTGTAGGGGGACAGGCCCGACCTAACCCTAGCTCCTACTCAGCGCCGAACGCTCGGAATCTGCCCAACATCGAAGGGCTTGTCGGCGTTGGCCGCAGGCCGCGCGCTCGCCCCGGCGCGGGCGCAAGAGGCTCGATCACCGCCGCGGCCGTTGCGCTACTAAAAGCTTTGCTACCGTTAATTCGGGCCTGTCCCCCTACAGGGGTATTTTCGACGAAAAGTTAAAAATACCCTACAAATAATCAAAAATAATCCAAAAATAGTCTGGGGACTATTTTTTGAATATTTTTGTTGCCTTCTTAGGGTATTTTTGGGATATTTTGAATTTTTCGTCGAAAATCCCCCTGTAGGGGGACACGCCCGACATAATGCTGCCGCGGACAGCGCGCCAGCAATCTTCTGCCCCGCGGCGCGGGCGCTTCCCGCGCGACCCGCCTGGCACTTGCGCAGCCCGTTGCAAAAACGACCCCCCGCCGCTGGCCAGGCCTTCGCCCGAGCGGAGGCCGGTTCGTCTTCGGCCGGTGGCGCCCGTCGCGCACCACGCGGCAAGCTCCTATGGGCTCGGCGCGTGGCGAGGAATCTGCACCCACCTCCCACCCCCCCTCCCCTTCCCTGAGGGAACGAGAGATAGAGAGAAAGGAAAAACGAAAAAACGAAAAACATATATATATATATATATATATACATACAAACATACATACATAGATACATACATACATACATACATACGTACATACATACATACATACATACATACATACATGCATACATACATACATACATACATACATACATACCTACCTACCTACATACATACATCCATACATACATACATACATACATACATACATACCTACCTACCTACCTACCTACCTACCTACCTACATGCATGCATGCATGCATGCATACACATACATACATACATACATACATACATACATACATACATACATACATACATACATACAGACAGACAGACAGACAGACAGACAGACAGACAGACAGACAGACAGACAGACAGACAGACAGACAGACAGACATACATGCATACATGCATGCATGCATACATACATACATACATACATACATGCATACATGCATGCATGCATACATACATCTATATACATATATAACAAAAAATGAGACAGGGAAGGGGCCAGGAGCATGGTTTCTGGGCGCCTGGGGCAGGAGCCAGGCGCGTCCAGGACAAAGGCACCAGGCGTGCGCGCAGGCCTCTCGCGATGTTGCGGCCCGCCCTGGGCAGCGCCGCAGCGCCCCCGAGTCGTGACGGCACGGCGAGGAGGCCCAAACTCCGTGCATTAGTTGGCACACTGGCCAACAAGATTGCACAAGCCGCTCATGGGCTGGACGGCATGGCATAGCAATGTGACTGTGACTGTCGCCTTCGAACGTCAACAGCTCAGTTGTTCATTGCCACCAGTTTCTATTGCCTCATTTTAGGGAGGTCAGTGTTTTTCTCCACTGATCCTGCGCCATGTCCGACAACCCTCAACAGATCCTGCAACAGATCCTACAATGTTCTTACACCCCATCTACACATACCCCATGCACAAATCATTGACTTACTTAAGGTTTTAAAGCGCTCGTGGTTACCAGACTTTCAGATCTCAGCCCCGTATGGAGCTCCACCCCAGGCCCATTTCGGCACAACCCTCAGACGATTCGTGGCCCCAAGGGAGCTCCGCCGAAGGCCCATGCGGCAGGGCTCGCGTCCCCCTGGCCGTTTCGGCGAATCCCTCACACGCTTCGTGGCCCCACAAGGAGCTCCTCCGAAAGCCACTGGAATGCGGCCCCCCACCCCTCGCTGCCTCCTCCCGCGCTGCCGTGTGCCTCGTCCTTCCTGCGGCGCGCTGCCTACGAGGGCAGAGGCTGCGTCCCGCGCTAGTCACAGCTCGGTCGCCCACCTCCGCAGCCTCACCTCCCATGTGGCACTCGCAAATGCCTGTGGTTGCGCTCTTCGCCAGGCTCGTGCTTCTGTTCCACGTCCCACCGGCTGCTCCTCGAGCTCGGCCCCTGGGGGGCCGACACCCGGCCTCGGGGGCCCGCAGAAGCGGATCCGGGGCGAGCAAGAACCCGGGGAAGGGGTCGGGACCTCCGGGGCCGCAGGGTGGGGAGGCAACTCCTGGGAGGTCTTCGTAAGAACTATTGAGCGCTGCTGAGCCCGACGAGAGCGCCATCAACCCAGGCTAGACCAGACTGGGCCCAGCATGAAGCCCGATTGCGCCGAACTCGGCGGGATCAAGCAGGAGGAAGCAGGATGATGCAGGCTTGGGCGAGCCTCCGGACATGGATGACCATGCCAGCGCCGATGTCGACCTTCGCCTCCCATGGGTTTGCATCCGAAGGAGCCTAAGGTCGTAGCGCTCGGCGTCGGCCACGTAGTAGAACTGGCTGGGCTCGCCGCCGCGGGTCTGGCACATATACTTGCCGTGGGCCAGGCAATCCGCCCCCGGCAGCCGCTCGTAGAAGCACCCGTGCGCGTCACCGGGCCCGCGCGGGCACACGCGGGCCTCCGTGAGCACCTCCGAGCAGCGCGGAGCCGAGCCCCGTCCCCACCGGCGTGGCCTGGGCCCCGGGGGGGCCGCCCTGCTCACCCTGGTGGGGGACACCTGCCCGTTCCTCCAGGTCCTGCGCGGCCTATCCCCACCCAGGGGGGGACCTCGCGGGGCTGGGGTGCCGCGGCCCAGGAGGGAGGGGGATCGGTTGGTGAGCATCGTCTGGTTCGGCGTTTCGACACTGGGCGGAAGAGGGGGGGAGGGGGTCTGGCTCCGGACTTCTGCTTATTGCGACTGTTTGCAACGGTGCGTCCTCTAGGGGAGACTCCACCTGCTCGAAACAGGCGCCAAAAACAGCCAAGATCTACTCCCATGGGGGGAGGAGGAGGGTGCGAGGACCCGCGCCGATCGGCAAAGCCGTGGATAAGAAAACGATCACTTGGACAGTGCTGCACCTCCACACTGGTGGGCACGAAGATCTTGTCTCCAGAATCACCCGGGGTCAGCTCGACGAAGTCCTTGATCTTGCACGGCGCCCGGTGGGGAAGCGCGCGCGCGCCCCCCCCGTGCTCCGAGCAGTAGGGCAGGCGCCGCGGGTCGGTGAAATCCGCCTTTGGGCGCTGCTTCATGGGGGCGCTAAATGCGGGGCGGGGAAGAGGAGGAGGAGGAGGACGAGGAGGAGGAGGAGGAGGAGGAGGAGGAAGGAGAAGGAGGAGGGGGGAGGAGAAGGAGGGGAGGAGAAGGCTGCGGGAGGAGGAGGAGGAGGAGGAGAGGAGGAGGAAAGGTCAGGGAGGAGATAGGAGGAGGGTAGGAAGAGGAGGAGGAGGAGGAAGGGGGAGAAAGGAGGAGGATGATGGAGGGGAGTGGTGGGAGGGGGGGGGGGCGGAGGAAGGCTGGAGGAGGGGGGGGCGGAGGGAGGAAGAGGAGAAGGAGGAGGAGGAGGAAAGGGGAAGGAGGAGAGGAGGAGTGATGAAAGGATGAGGAGGATGAGGGGGGGGATAAGGCGGAGGAGGCGGAGTAGGCGGGAAAGAGGAGGAGGAGGAGGAAGAGTAGGAAGGAGGATGGAGGAGGAGGAGGAGGGGAAAGGGAGGAGAGAGGAGGAGTATGAGGAGTGAGGAGAGGAGGAGGAGGACGAGCAGGAAGGAGGACGAGGAGGAGGAGGAGGAGGAGGAGGAGCATTGGGGGGGCGCTAAAATGCGGAGGGGAGGGGGAGGGGGGGGCAGGGACCGTGCACCTCTCGTGCCCAGTTGGGGCACCAGGGGGCCCCCGCAGGGCCCCCAGACGCACCCCTCTCTTCGGCCCCCCTCGCCTCTCGCCCCCCCCCCCCCCTCAGTCTTCGCGGCGCAGGGCGGCCATGCAGCCGTTCTCCGCCGGGTCGCAGTGGCCTCGGGTGGGGTGCGAGTAGGAGATGTGGGCGAGGCCCCGCACGTCCAGCAACCTTATGGGGGACAAGAAGTGGCATAAACATGAAAACTCGGAGCTCCGCGCGGATTTCTCGCATCGGCGCTGGGGCCCCCCCCCAGCGGCGCCTCCGGAGCAGCCCCCGGCGCGCTCCGCGGGCCAGGGAGGAGGGTCCAGCGCCGATGCGAGAAATCCGCGCGGACCTCCGAGCTTTTATGTTTATGCAACTTCTCGTTCCCCTAAGCCTGAAGTGCTCGCCGTTCCAGATCATCTGGTAGCCGACCATGTCCGCCGTCGCGCTTGCGGCGTCCGGGCGACAGGCCGTCGAGAGCAGAGAAAAAAGGAAAACAAACAAACAAACAAACAAAAAACGCCCTCACGGTGTACACTCCGACGAGCGCAGCAGTTCCGTAGTCGTACGACAGCGAAGGCAGCGGATAGGACGGGGCTGTTCAGTACACGCCCAGGGCCGTGCTTTGCACGCCAAGTATGGGGGTCGGGGGGGGGGTCCCCTCCCTTGAAATCGGTGCCCCTGGGCACATCGGGCCCACCATGCGCTGGGTCTGGTCACCAAGTCCCAGCACGCTCTGTCTTCCAGGCAGGCTGTGCTGTCAGAATCGAGGATTGCGCGGTGCAGGAACCTGCCGGGCACCTGCCTCCCGCTCCTCGCCCCATCCCACACCTCGTCCC